GGGGACACCATGGTCCTCACCAAGTTCATGGAGAATGGGGGCCTCAACATCTTCTTCAGGGTATGGGGACGCTGGGGGAGATGGGAAGATGGGGGGAGATGGGGAGATGGGTGGAGATGGGTGGCCATGCCCCAGGTGACCCCCCCCGTCCCCCCGATGTCCCCCCCAGGGCCGGGTGGGGTCGCTGCCCCCCCTGCAGCTGGTGGCCATGCTGCGGGGCATCGCGGCCGGGATGCGCTATTTGGCCGACACGGGCTTCGTGCACCGGGACTTGGCCGCCCGCAACATCCTGGTGGACGCCCAACTGGTCTGCAAGGTCTCCGACTTCGGGCTCTCCCGCGCCCTGCAGGAGGACAGCTCGCCCGACCCCACCTACACCAGCTCCTTGGTGAGGGGGGGGGTTGGGGTGGCACCGGGGTTGGGATCTCGCAAGGGTTGGGGTTCCACCAGGGTTGGGATCTCACCAGGGTTGAGGGTTCCACCAGGGTTGGGATCTCACCAGGGTTGGGGTCCCACCGGGGTTGGGATCTCTCAGGGGTTGGGGTTCCACCAGGGTTGGGATCTCTCAAGGGTTGAGGGTCCACCGAGGTTGAGATCTCTCAAGGGTTGGGGTTCCACCAGGGTTGAGATCTCACCAGGGTTGGGGTCTCTCAAGGGTTGAGGTTCCATCAGGGTTGGGATCTCAAGGGTTGAGGTCCCACCAGGGTTGGGATCTCACCAGGGTTGGGGTGGCACCAGGGTTGGGATCTCTCAAGGGTTGGGGTTCCACCAGGGTTGGGGTCTCACCAGGGTTGGGGTGGCACCAGGGTTGGGATCTCTCAAGGGTTGGGGTTCCACCAGGGTTGGGGTCTCACCAGGGTTGAGGGTCCACCAGGGTTGGGATCTCAGCCACCAGGGTTGGGATCTCTCAAGGGTTGAGGGTCCACCGAGGTTGAGATCTCTCAAGGGTTGGGGTTCCACCAGGGTTGAGATCTCACCAGGGTTGGGGTCTCTCAAGGGTTGAGGTTCCATCAGGGTTGGGATCTCAAGGGTTGAGGTCCCACCAGGGTTGGGATCTCACCAGGGTTGGGGTGGCACCAGGGTTGGGATCTCTCAAGGGTTGGGGTTCCACCAGGGTTGGGATCTCACCAGGGTTGGGGTGGCACCAGGGTTGGGATCTCTCAAGGGTTGGGGTTCCACCAGGGTTGGGGTCTCACCAGGGTTGAGGGTCCACCAGGGTTGGGATCTCAGGGGTTGGGGTTCCACCAGGGTTGGGATCTCACCAGGGTTGAGGTCCCACCAGGGTTGGGGTCTCATCAGGGTTGAGGTTCACCTGGACACAGGTCCCTCAAGGCTTTGGGGTCCCACCAGGGTTGAAGTTCTCCAGGTTCCTGGGTCACTCAAGGGTTGGCTCCCATCAGGGTTGGGATGTCTCAAGAGTTGAGGTCCCACCAGGGTTGGGGTCTCATCAGGGTTGGGGTTCACCTGGACACAGGTCCCTCAAGACTTTGGGGTCCCACCAGGGTTGATGTTCTCCAGGTTCCTGGGTCCCTCAAGAGTTGGGGTCCCTCAAGGCTTTGGGGTGCCACAAGGGTTGAGGTTCTCCAGGTTCCTGGGTCCCTCAAGAGTTGGGGTCCCTCAAGGCTTTGGGGTGCCACAAGGGTTGAGGTTCTCCAGGTTCCTGGGTCCCTCAAGAGTTGGGGTCCCACCAGGGTTGATGTTCTCTGAGTTCCTGGGTCACTCAAGGGTTGGCTCCCATCAGGGTTGGGGTCTCTCAAGAGGTGGGGTCCCACCAGAGTTGGGGTTCACCTGGACACAGGTCCCTCAAGGCTTTGGGGTCCCACCAGGGTTGAAGTTCTCCAGGTTCCTGGGTCACTCAAGGGTTGGCTCCCATCAGGGTTGGGGTCTCTCAAGGGTTGGGGTTCCACCAGGATTGGGGTTCACCTGGACACAGGTCCTTCAAGGGTTGGAGTCCCACCAGGGTTGATGTTCTTTGGGTTCCTGGGTCCCTCAAGAGTTGAGGTCCCACCAGGGTTGGGGTCTCATCAGGGTTGGGGTTCACCTGGACACAAGTCCCTCAAGAGTTGGGGTCCCACCAGATTTGGGGTTCACTTGGACACAGGTCCCTCAAGGGTTGGGGTCCCACCAGGGTTGAGGTTCTCCAGGTTCCTGGGTCCCTCAAGGGTTGGGGTCCCTCAAGTCTTTGGCTTCCCCTGGACACCTGGGGTCCGTGGGGTGGTGGGTCCTCCCCCCTGGGGGTGATGGTGGATTTTGGGGGTTCCCATCGTCCCATCCCCCCAACGATGGCCCCACGGACAGGGGGGGAAGATCCCCATCCGTTGGACGGCGCCCGAGGCCATCGCCCTCCGCAAGTTCACCTCGGCCAGCGACGCCTGGAGCTACGGCATCGTCATGTGGGAGGTGATGTCCTTCGGGGAGCGCCCCTACTGGGACATGTCCAACCAGGACGTGAGTCACCCCAAAACCTAGGGGGGAGTCTTGGGGGGGGGAGATGGGGTCACCCCCAAACTCCTGGGGTCCCCTGTGGGGCAGGGACTCCCCTGTGGGGCAGGGGAGGGGGGATGTCCTTCGGGGAGAGCCCCTACTGGGACGTGTCCAACCAGGACGTGAGTCACCCCAAAACCTGGG